AATTACACTGTTTTCCAGGGCTGCAGCACACTGGAAATTGGCACTTTCGGAATAAAAATGGACAAGTATTGCCTCCTATATCTTGAGTATGCATTATTATTGGAGTCCATTTTTAATTTTATACCTGCCCTTTTCTCTCCAGTTGATTATAAATTTCCTGGGTCTGACATAAAACAATTTTTAGTGAAAGGGGGTATGAGGGAAGTTATAGTGGGCCATTAAGGCTGTGGAGAGAAACCCAAACACAGCTGAGCTTAGCAGGTCATAAAGGAAGCCTTACAATGAGCAGTCAGATAGCCCCAGAGCGCTGACTAGTGGCATCAGAAGGGTACAAGCTTCCATGTGAGTGGAGATTGTAGCTACTAAAGTCTTTCATGAACTTCCCAAAACCCCATAGGGAAGAATGTCTTTTGTGACTCTTTTGAGAGAATTGACTAAAGTACCAGCGTCAGCTTCTGTCCTGTAATACACTCCGCCTTTCACCTATACCAGGGTGACATTAAAATTAAAAATGCATCCTAGTCAAGTCTTAAAATGACTACTTAGCTTCAGACACAGCTGAACACATGGACAGGCAGCCACAGGAACACTAAACACAAGTGGCTAATAAGTGCTGCAGAGAACACATTGAACGTCTCCAACAAAGACGTAAATCGATGTCACAGCACACGGAGCATCGGTGAAAAGTTAGGAGGGTGACACTTGATGCTGGGGTAAGGCCTCCTGAGACAGTCGTTTGTAGTTGAGTGTTAATTGATGTGGCCACTCTTGGAATATCCTTTGGCCCAGGATTTCCCTCTGCAGTTCTATCTTGGGGAGTAACCAGGAAGGTTGATGAAGATTTACGGGCAAGGGTTGTCATAAGAACAAAACGGATACAGTATTTGATCAGAATAATTTTGGCTGCAAGTACTTAGAACCTTGGCACATCTCTGTCTTGCAGGGAAGACTTAGTTTGCATAACAGGAAGCACAGGGGAGGAAGTGGGCTTCAGGGGTGGGGTTTGGTGATCTGTCATCATCCTCCATCAGCAGTCAGCATCCTCAAAGGACTGTTCCATGCATCTGCCGTTGTTTGGAACAGTTGAGAAGTGGAAATGTGGTACACCCCAAATTCACAATGTCTACAGGGAACAGAGACCATCTCATACAGTTCTGTCTTAGACATGAGAGAACTTCCCAACAGCCTTCACCCAGAACACCCTTTCGTATCTTATGATTGGCTTGAAATGGTCACATGTGTTTCTTAACCAGTCACCAGCGAAGAGAACTATGCTACTCTTGGTCAGGCCCACTTCTGGAGCTCCTAGTGCCCTCATTTCTCTCCGAGACACATGATTACACCATGGCCACTTGCACGGAGGAAGAAGACACTGCTGAAAAAAAATCGTAATTCTCTTTGGAAAATAGAGACGACAAAAAATGTGTGAATTTGGGGGATTTCAAACAGTGATTTGGAAAACTAGATTATGGTACATGCATGTTCTCTTGAACGGTTATCATACATGTGTTTGAAGAGTGTTTGAGATAGGAAGGTATTCACAGTGTAACAAATGCTTACATTGCCACAGCAAAATGCCATAGGGTGATGGGCTGAACAGATGAAGTTGATGCCATTTGTTGGGAAGCCAGGAAGTCTAAGATCAAGTGCTGTCCTACTTAGCTCCTAGTGGAGGCTGTCCACTCACAATGCCGTCAACGGGACAGGGAGACAGAGCATGAGCTCCGCTGCCCCTTCTTAGAAGGGCAAGAGTCCCATGAAGAGGGCCCTCCCCTTGTAGACTCATGGAAACCTGATTACCTACCCAAGGCCATCGAGTTGAGCAGTATGAAGAGCTTCAGTACATACATTTGCAGGGGTGAGAGAGGCAGGGAAAACAAACATCCAGGCCATTAACAAATGTTTCAAGAAAAAAAAGAGAATAGAAAACTAAAGTGTGCTATTACTATGTGTAACCCACGTATGCGCTAATATTAGCACGCGTAGAGAGAGAGGCTCCAGGAAGAGGTGATAAGTGCTAACTGTACACATCTGCGTCATCGGAGCAGGACTGATTTCCATCATCTCCTCTACTTTCTATATTCTTCAGGTACATATACATTAAAATATGAGTTATAAAAAATCGTATTCCCTTTAAGATCGATGGTAGCTCTAAAATCAGTTCTCCATTTCTAATTACTCACTGTATGATCCCGTATTGAAGAGTTGGGACTACAAAAAGACAAAATATGCTGGCCTATTTAGTCAAGGCGTCTCTTTCCTTGAGTTGGGATCTCGTCTGTCTCAGGATGACCTTTAACCCCTCATCTTTTTGTCTCTACCTCCAGAGCACTGGGATGACACCCAAGCCACCACGCCCAACTAAGAAGATTTTAACAACAGCTTTTCAACTGTTCTGTATAGAACTGTACCCAGTTGAAAAGCTGGTGTTTGACTTTGTAAAGACGCAGTCACCATTGACACTAGTGCCAGTGATGCTTTTTGAGTCCATGGTGGTGGTACTGTTGGGGTATGGGAATATCTCCATCTAAGAATACGGTTTGAGGATGTGCTGGGATGAATACTCCTCAGCAAGTCTATGCCCCGTGCTGCCGATTGCCGCACTAACATGTCTGAGTTAAGTGACACTCTCAGTCTCGGGTTGAAATGGACTCATTCAACTCTGTTGTCAATGTTCTAAAGAATGCTAGAAAAGCTGGAGAAGAAAAAAATCCAAGGACTAGAAAAGAGGGTTAGGATCTAGAAAAGAGGGTTAGGATCTAGAAAAGAGGGTTAGGATCTAGAAAAGAGGGTTAGGATCTAGAAAAGAGGCCTTTAGGATATCCTCTCTAATGGACAGGTAGGGTGACCAGCCGTCCCAGTTTGCCTGGAACTAAAAACTAACGATGTAGGTGTTTTCAAAGAACTTAAAGTCAAAGAGGCCCCAGGCCAGCAGGGCTGGGCGGGTCCCCTCGGTTGCGAAAGAGCAAGACCTGGAACCCATGATGCATGACTCAGGGGCCTGAAAAATATCCAGTTGCTTTTTGTTTTCTGGGAGCTTCTCTTGGAGCACCACACTGCTTCTGCTGCGCTGCTGAGGAGCCGGATTGTTTGGCGCTTTTTAGCCAGTAGCCAAGGGCAGCAGAGAGGCTCAGGGGGCTGGGTGGGGAGCAGCATCATGAAACCCTTAGGAAGCAAAGGGATTAGAGAAACCCAGAAGGGAGGGACTTTCATTGTAATCTAGAGGTATCTCCTGCCACTGGAGGAAAAACTAATGTAAAAAAACAATAAGGAGTTGATCCTTTCACAGTCTAAATTTTTGTTCATCTTTATTCTCACTTTCTGTGTTAAAGAACTGTTGTCATGACAACACCATGAAATGCGGTTCAGCCTCCTTAAAGTCATGATACCTTATTTTAAACTGCCAGGGTTTCTTTGAAAAAGTCTTGATATTTTATCTTTCAGTTTCATTAGAAATCATTTTTGCACAGCCTTATAGTGCTAATGTCTGACTTGAACACTGAAGCTATGTTCAACAATAAAATTTCCCTAGGAATTTCATCGTATGCCTCATGTCTCAGGTGTAAAGATTATGGGCAGAGTTATACTACGTCTTTCCAGGTATGAAACAACTGATATATCTGATATGTATGAATGTATGTATACACACACACACACACACACACACACACACACTGTTTCTATTCTTTTTCACTGGATGTGATTATCAAAAAGTTCAAGAAAAAAATTTAAATGTGAGAGTCCCCATATGGTTCATGATAAGACGAAATCAGAAGCATCAAAGAATGCAGAGGCTGCACAGCATATTTTAAAAATCAAACATTAATGTGGTTTCCAACCCTCAGAGTTCCTGAGTAAAACACACATTTTAATACTGGAATTTAAGGCCCCAGTTCAGACCAGCATATTTTACACCTTACAACCTACCCCGAAGAGACAGCCCAACTCAGACTCCAAAGCTTGGGGCTAAAGAAATGCATCCGTTATTCCCCTAACCAGCATTGGAATGCACAGACTTAAGTGTCTTAATGCTGTGGGGTTATTCTTCAGTTTTTATTGCGGAGAACATGCTTGAGAAGTTTGCCACTGTTGCTTTTTTTCTTTTTCTCTCGTTCATTCCTTTCCTTTCATTTAGACCACATGTTGGTTTGACCAGATGAAGATTCTGCCAGAAAGAAAACTATCGGAGATATTCAGGCAGGCTAGTTCACAGGCCACCTGTGTCTTAAATTTAGCATTGGAGTAGCCGAAAGCTAGACTTGGGCAGCTGAGGGTACAATGACTGCTCTGCTCTTCGGAGGGCCATCTGCAGGACACCTGCAACTGCGGCCACCTGGCCTGCACGAGGTAGGCAGGGACTGGAATGGGTCCTAGAGTCGGGAACAAAACTCACTAAAGAGACTGCATTTCAGTTTTTCTGAAGGTCAAGTCAAATGGAGACTGATCTTGTCCAGTCTCAGCTCAACAAACTTCGGACAGGTTTCTCCTTGCTGTAGGCTCTCAATGCTTCGTGAGGATTTACACCCCGAAGTTTGTAATTCTAAGTTTTAATGGCTCTTTCAAAAAACGAACCTTCCACAGCTCAGGGGTGTCTTTGTTAAGGACTGGGAGTCCTTGCTTTGGGGTGAAATCTAGGAAGACAGGAATCTTAGCCTCTGTGAGCATCGGGGATCCCCTTGATAAGTGACAGTTACTTCCCCGCCCACATCCTGCAGTATTTCCGGTTGGTTGTAGCAGTCCTCCTGTCTTTTGCTCCAGGGGAGTCGGGTTCCATCCCTGTCCTATACTGCTGTGCTGTGTCTCTCTATTGCAATGGATGATGGTTTGCGTGGGAGACGTCCTCCCAGAAACTCACACTTTGAATGTTGGTTCCCAGTGCCGAGTAGGCTCTTGAGGGGCAATTGCGTCATTTGGGGCTCTTTGATTGACATCACTGATGACCTCACAGCTGTATGGGCTATCAGGAGGCGGGGCTTAGCTGGAGGAAGTAGTCACCAGAGAACACCTTTGGAGGATTGCTCTGTCCCTGTCTGGACCTTTCTCTGTGTGGGGTCTGCTTGGCATCACATCATTTACTTACCTCCCAGCGAAGTCTGCAGCCGGAAGTTTAAAAGACAGACGCTTTTCTGCTCCTTAAGTGGCTCCTGGGCTCCAAGATACTCTGCACATCACAGTCAAGTTCAAAAAGGAACTATCTCCTTATAAGTCATTTTCCTTCTTCAAGTAACACTCCTTGAACTGCTTACCACTGTAGACAGCTGCTGGGTTTCATCTCAGATGGGTCATGTGCTCTTCTCCTGTGAGGTAAGCATTGGATCTGCACACCCGTGTACTGGTTAGTTTCTGTCTGCCCCGAGTTCCTGGGGAAGAGGGAACCTCAGTTGAGAGATTGCCTCCTGTGGGCATCTTCTCAGTTGCTAACTGATTTAGGTGGGCCTAGTATCCTGTAGGCAGTGAATCCTTGAGCAGGCGAGGGATGTAGACGAAAAGTGGCCTAGCAAGCCAGTAAGCAGTGTTCCCCAAGGTTTCTGTCTCAGGTCCCTGCCCCGGCCTCCCTTGACGGTAGACTGTAGCCTGTTAGCCAAATAAATCCATTCCTCCCCCAGTTGATTTTGGTCAGTGTCTTATCACAGAAACCAAACTAGAACCAACTAACATGGACCCTAAGTCTGGACTGCCATTTGGGAGAGTTATATTCTTCCACTGAAAGGCTAAATATCAAACATTTAGCCCACAAGTAGAGAGAGGGAAAGTTCCAACTTTTAGACAACATTGATATGATCTGTTTTGTTTGTTTGTTTGTTTGAGGCAGGGTCTCACCACAGAGTCCTGGCTGACCTGGAACTCAGAGAGATCTGCCTGCCTCTCCCTTCTGAGTGCTGGGACTGAAGCAATGCCATGCCTAGGCTAATTGTTACCTGTAGAAGGAGAGAGAACATTCTCTTGCAGTTTTAAATAACAAAAGAAGCAGAAGCAGGAGGAGGAGGAGGAAGAAGGAGGAGGAGGAAGAGGAGGAGGAGAAAGAGGGGGAGGAAGAAGGAGAAAAAGAAGGAGGAGGAGGAGGAAGAGGGGGAGGAGGAGGAGGAAGAGGGGGAGGAGGAGGAGGAGGAGGGGGAGGAGGGGAGGGGGGAGGGGGAGGAGAAGTAGCAGCAGAAAATAAACAAAAGAAAATAACCCCAACTGCGAAGGCTTTGAATTCTATACACAGGGAAGGAGACTGTGTTGTTTACTAATGCTGCTGAAGATACTCAATGCAACTCACTTCCACGGGCCAGAAGGCCACCGCATGGTGATAGACCGCTGCTATCTCTTCCGGTCTTAGGCTAGCTGGTGAGTAGCCTTATTAGTTCTGTAAAGTTTATTCTGTCCTACAAAAATTAGTATACTCACAGGAGTAACAGGAAAGTAGTGACAACTATAGGGAGCCCCAATACTGGGGACCATGGGTGGGCGGGGTACAACTTTAGAGGTCAATGGAAATACTTCGAAAACAGTTTGACATTATAGCTTTTGAACTCAATTTCTTATTCTATTACTTAGAGAACTCTTTACAGTCCACGACTACTTTACTTCCTGGAGTAGGATTTTTGTGTTTTGGTAGAGCAGGTGTCTTACTTGAGGTCTTCTGGTATGCATAAAGTCGGGAGAGACACCTGTCACTCAGCAATAAGCCCAGTGTGAGGACTGTGTGCTTCCATCGGAGAGGCCAAGAAATGATGAATCAAGCAGGAATTTGTGGGTGTGGGGTGGACATGTGTGAGCAGGATCAGAGAGAGGTTCGGGAAGAGGCAGTGATCTGGGATTACGGGGGCTGCAGTATCGGAGAAATGACACGAGACAAAGGGGAGGAAACCCAGCAAGCTCTTTCCCAGAAGTGACAAGCAAAACAGCGCCGAGACCCCGAGAAGCGCTTGACTAGCCAGTGTCTTCGTAATAAATAAAAGATAAAACTGAGACATGCACGTATCCGACCCACATAATCACACCACCTAGAATCCACCCCATAGTTTCCTTAGAATACTGAAAATCACAGGTAGACCCTTCTCAAGCACAGGGTGTGTGTACATGCATGATTTGGAGCCTTTTTTGGAATTTTTTTCTTCAATAGGAGAAAGCAACAAACAAAAGCTCATGTGAAAACTGAGTATACACCCGATGAACCCCAAACCGGAAAAGTCTGAAACTCAGGACATTTTGAGTGTGTCCTGTTTCTTCTCACAGACCCAAGGCCTCTGCAGAAGCCATCGACAACAACTAGAAATCGTGCATTCTATTCGCCTGTCCCTTCCAGCAGACCGAGGACCAGTTTTAGTGGGGGAACAAGCCTGAATTGAATCTGAGTTTAAAAACCCTTTAGGTCACAGTAGAAGAAACGTTTGGGTGCTCCTTGCTTTAGAGCAGCTGGAGCAACTGCGCCCTCTAGCCTCCACACTGGGTACTGCAAGGCCATTTCATGTGTCCCGGCTTCGGCGGTGTCCTCAATTTTGGGACTTGAAGTTCAAAGTCATTCGAAACATGTCACACATTCAGATCCCCCCAGGTGTGAGTAAAGCTATTAATCTCACTTTGGTGATAAACATGCCTGTTGGAAGCTCATTTTCTCCCTTAGTTATACCAGAAAAATTAATTAGGCTCATATTTTAAAAACTTTACATATTACAGAAAAAGTGGTCCCTAAAATATTGCAAAGAAGGAAGCTATCCATCATTTTCTAATAAAGGCACACGACTCAACTCATAATGATAAATTAGGGCAGCTGCCTGCCTGACCATCTGCTACCTGGGATTCTTATTTCTACAGAGCTGTATTTTATTCCGTGAGAGCCGTTTTGGCATCTCAAAATACGTTGGTTTGATCTGTTTCTCCTACTTTTTTGAGGAAACAAGTTGGGGCCTCTGAGGATGAGTTTGTTTGTTTTTGTTTGATCCTTTCATTCTTTTATATCTTGCCAGAGCACACCTCACCCCGAGGGGAACCAGGACACAAAAGCAAGCGCTCTGTGCCTGTGCTGTGGACCGTCGATAGCGGGATTTGTTTTCCCCCGGATGCCCAAACAGCGCACACTTTGAACACGCCGACAGCATTCTGGACAAGTCTCCTTTATACTGTTGGTTCCGATGGGCTGTCGGGCTATTTAAATCCCTTTCTCAACCGGAACACATGGCTATCGGATCCTGGCTGATCAACCGTAACACACGGCTAAAAGAAGGTATAGAAAAGAAGCATTAGTCACTCTGAGTTTATTTCATGAACGAAAGTGAATGGATGGTTTAATTCAGTGACAGAGACTGAGGAAGGAAGAGGAAGCGACAATTAGGATTAAATGTCTCCAGCAATCATTTTCCAGGTTTTAAAATGCAGACAGCTGATCTGATTTGATTAAAATTAAAGGCTATTTGGAAATAAAATGGAAACAGCTGGAGATGTTGTGGCCGGTATGCAGAGAGAGGATTTGGTTAATTGTAACGTCTATGTGTGATTGAACCCATGAGTCAGAGAGGTCTCCTGAGTTTAACGTTGCCACCGGCGAGAACAAAGACACCCACAAAGTTGCCATGGAGCTCTCAAGAGCTCAGGCTATCTTGGAGCTTTGAAGAGTCTTAAGATTTTTAGAATTGGAGGGCACTGGGCATGTTCTCAGTAGCAAGGACAACTTAAAGGCTCCCCAGCTACCTTTCAATGACTTCATTGTTCTTACAATTTCTCCTTTTTCACATTGCCTAAAACTCTCTTCCATGAGCACTTCATTGGCCTCATTGATATCAAAGCCTTATGAAGATTCCGAACACACCCAGGATGTTAGTGACCTCTGTCATTCACAAGTGTGTGTGTGTGTGTGTGTGTGTGTCAAACACACCCAGGATGTTAGTGACCTCTGTCATTCACAAGTGTGTGTGTGTGTGTGTGTGTAACTAGGTGGATTGATATAATACGTTTTTATGATAAAAAAGGATTTCATGCATTTTGAAAAAATCATGACATGATGGAAAAATTCAGTAACAGTTCATTTTTTTCTTTCAGTTACAGGGATTGAATCCAAGGCTTTTGTCCATTTTTCACACATATTCTGACTACTGTGAGAAATATCAAATCTGAGTCTTTTCTATCGAATACTATAAAACTTGTGTTTAGGAAAGTAATTCAAATGTTTCTAATCCCCCCCCACACCTTGTAGGATTTCCATGTGAATGTTTTAAACGCCATTCCCCAAGTAGACACAGATCTATTGCTGTATATGGCTTGAGAGCTGTTGCTGGATTTTCGTTCCTGCCAGGTTGGTCCCAAATAAGCACACAGACAGTATATTAGTTATAAACTGTTGTCCAATGACTAGGGCTTCTTATTAGCTAGCCCTGTCTCAATTATTAATCCATAACTACACATGTATGTATTTCTACATGGCCTTATCTGGTGTCTGGTGTGTCCTTTCTTCCTGGTCCTTACATGTTTTGTGGTCTTCCTCTGCCTACCTTTCCCAGAATTCCCCTCATCTCCTCGTCCTGCCTATTTTCCTGCCTTATTGGCCAAAGAGAGTTTTATTCGTCAACCAATAAGAGAAACATATATACAGAAGGACATCCCCCATTGTGGAGCAGTGGTCTCTTTCCCTTTCTTCCAATTCCTGAGTACTAGTTCCTCTCAGACTACCCAATCAAATTAAGGTTATGAGGCCAGACCCTGGCTAATGGGAAGAGATACAGTCGCTACCTGAATTAGGATGAAATCCAAACCTCTGTGTGTCCACTCTTCGGAGCGCACCCTCGTGGTCAAGAGTAAGTTTGCCTTGTGCAGCCCCTTTGGTTGCCGGTGCTCTCTTTCTTTGCAACACGAACTTATTTCTAACATCGCTGAGCTACACTCCAACCAGAGTCATGCTTAGTGTTATGTAAAAATCACCCTAAGTAGCGTGTGCATTCAGACAGTTCTTGGCTTGGTTGCATTGACACCCCTATTATCATACTTACACGGTAACTCTGCAGTCTGTGGTACCTGCCTCCTCCTCTGCATTTGAGAAACCACTAAGAACTTGAAATACTCTATTATAATGTCCTGGGCACTCTGAGGTCAGCAACTGGAATCCTGCTCTGGTCCCACCAACAGTCTTTGTAAGGGCTTTGTAGCAGAGAACACTACAAAAACACACATTGCTCCTTGTGCATTTTCTAGTTTCTGAGTAGAGGCCACCCATACTCAGAGAGTGTATGAGAGGAATGGGGGAGGGGGCTCTGAAAAAAAAAGCCATCAACAATTTTCCCCTGAGCTGCAGATCTCCAGGGCGTTGGCCCCTGTGAGAAATGGAAGTGGAGAGCTCCTGGTAGGGGAAGCTGCCCTTTTCGGTTTATCTTACACAGCAGCCTTTACCAAGCCCCTGCAAGACAGCTCTAGTTATTTATGTTTCGTTGGAATATGGAAACTGACAGGACTCAGACCGTTGGGCTTGGGGCCACCTCAAAGGCTCTGGTACACCTATGCAGCTGGTACCTGCACTGGGATATTCTGAGGTGAGCTAGAATGGCCAGGATCCTTTAGCATCTCTCCTCAGTGTTCCCTCTGCACAGCCCCACTCCCCTAGGAGGGGTGGACATACAGGATCTGAGGATGAGAAGAGTCAGAGCATCCTGGGGGCCGCCTGGCCTTTTCTATCCCAGCCCCCAGAGTGACACGCTATCAGGTCCAGGCTATTTTGTTGATTGGGGTTGTCACAAAGATCTACTCAGGGTCAAGGAGAGGGGCCACCAAAGAGCAGGAGTGTGGGAGGAGTTTGTGGACATTTCCCCAACCACCACAAGACGATGCTCATCTCTCATTGGCTTACCTTCCAATGTGTCCCTGAGTGTGTTTACAATGGCAAGGCTGCCACCAGTCAGTTAGACATGTCTCTTGCTCTCTCCACTATTCCAAATCCCATTATCCTTCCTGCCTCGCCCCTTCGGGTTGGGTTCTCCCGCCCCCTGCTTCCTCTTTGAAGTTCTGTGTGTCTGAACCCATGGAGAAATGACACTATCTCTGTCCTGGCCATGCCACCAAGGGCCCTGGTCGAATATGACTGGGGAAGTGTTAGAGACCCTGAGGTTTGAAGAGATGGGTTCAAGTGTGCACTAGGGTATGACATTTTGTCAGCCGTCTCTCAGACTTTCTGATCTTTAAGTGCAGGAAGGACAATGAGGCTCTTACCTTTCCTTTTGGAACTGCTTGTGTGGTTCCCTCACAGAGTACAGGCTACAGGACCGTCCCATGTGGTCTACCACTGAGAAAATGGGTAGGAACCAGTGATGGAGATAACGCTCTGTGTCAGTGTTGAGGATAGGTGTCTAGTGCTCTTACCATGAGATGGTTCTGGCCTGCCCTGTGACAATATTTTTCATTTGTTTGATTTTGAGACAATGTGGCTACACAGCCCAGGTTGGCCTCAGTGTCTTGACTTCCCTGCCTTAGCTTTCCAAGTTCTAGGATTCTAGGTACATGTCATCATATCCAACTCGTACAGTTTTTTGCTTTTCTTTGACTTATTTCTATTTTTTATTTGTGTGTGTGTGTGTGTGTGTGTGTGTGTGTGTGTGTGTGTGTGTGTGTGTGTGTACATACCGGAGCAGGCCAAGAGAGGTGTCAGATCTCCTGGAACTGGAACTAAAAGTAGTTGTGAGTGATTTGATATGGATGCTGGGGTTAGACCAAACTCTATTTCTCTTGAAGAGCAGTAAGCAGACTTAACTGCTACAACACTTCTTCCGCCCCCATTTCTGTAACAAGGTTTACCCTAAGTGCTGACCTGCCCCCCCATCAAGTGAATGGAACCACAAACCCATTTAACTGAGTGTTGCTTCCTAAGGAGCTGGCCATACTGGTGGCGCTCCAGAATCAGCTTACAAAGCAAATTCTTCCCGGTGTTTCCATTGAGTTATTAGAAAAATTAGCAATTCCCCCCAAATCTAGAAGATATGATTCATTTAAAATCTTTAATATTATTTTAATAAGATTCTTTCTCCAGATAGTGCTCACTCATTACAGATAGTCCAGCTAACTGTCTCATTTGGCTTCAGTAGGAAGAACATCAGGAAACTGGTTGTAATAATAAAATTCCATCCAGGATGAATCTCTCCACCTTTTTTTCTAGTTAGCATTTTAAAAAAGCATAAAGTTGAACGCCAGCCTGAGCTGGTTGAAGACGGCACCCTGGGAAATCTGCTATAATTTTAAGTGGTGTGCACAGTCACGTACATCCATAAGATAAGCTCACCAGAGTGTGGATGGGGATTCAGCAGCAAAACTGAGCATAAACCCGTTATTGCTTTCATTTTGGACTCCACCCTTCACTTGGCTCAGCTTATCCCTGATAGGGTGAGGGACGAGGAGCCCACAACGGTGACTGAATCCCCAAAAGCCATCTCATTTGCACACCTTCTTAACATTCCTCTCCGTGTCCTTTGGTCAGAGCCAAGGCAAATTTCTCTGCTTATTTTAAAGAGAAACTCATGACTGAGCTATTATCTCTGATTTGTAGCAGTTAGCATGTAATGGAAGGAAAAGGCAAAACCCACAAATTCGTGTAGTCAGAGCAGGTGAAGGGTTTTTATTCCACATGGATCTTCTTCCGGTACAGAGAAGAGAGGCGGGCTCAGCTGTGCACTGCCCTGCACAGTCCATAACTTCTGTTTAAACCTATGCATGAAATATCCCCAGGGTTCGTTAAAATTTATATAAAATATCCCCAGGGTTTGTCAAAAGGCAGGAAAAACTGGACTGAACTCGAACACTTCTCATAATTTTCTAACAAGTCAGTGCAGTTACTTCTGATGAATTCCCAGGTAAGGCCACATAAGTCATAGCCTTCCTCCTGGAATATTCCTAAGAGTACGTATCAAATCCTAAGTGAACATGGACTCTTAGGAGTGACTATGGGCTAATGCTCATCTGGGGTTTCCGCATTCCCACAGTGCCCTGTGTCTCCATTCCAAACCTTAGCTGATCTCTCTTCCTCTCCCTTCCCCACGCTCACACACCCCAGGATAGAAGCTTCCAACCCCTCTGCTTTCACTCAACACGTGCTGGGATCCCGGGCAGCAGCCACCACATCTGCTGTTAGAAGAGTTATTGAGACACAAAAGCTATGAGGAAACAGATTCTCCAACCTTTTCTCAAATTCAGTAGGTGGTGGTGTGTGTAGGTGGTGTGTGTGTGGTGTATGTGTGTGTAGGTGGTGTGTGTATGTGGAGCGTGTGTGTGTGTGTAGGTGGTGTGTGTATGTGGAGTGTGTGTGTGTGTGTAGGTGGTGTGTGTATGTGGAGTGTGTGTGTGTAGGTGTGTATGTTTGTGGTGTGTGTGTGTGTGTAGGTAGTGTGTGTGTATGTAGGTGGTGTGTGTATGTGGAGTGTGTGTGTGTAGGTGGTGTGTGTGTATGTGGAGTGTGTGTGTGTAGGTGGAGTGTGTGTGTGTAGGTGGTGTGTGTATATGTGGAGTGTGTGTGTATGTGGAGTGTGTGTGTAGGTGTGTGTGTATGTGGAGTGTGTGTGTAGGTGGTGTGTGTATGTGGAGTGTGTGTGTAAGTGTGTGTGTGTGTGTGTGTAGTATGTGTTTATATAGAGTACGTGTGCATGTAAGTGGTAGTAGTGGGCTGTGAAGGCTAGTCTTCACTGTCAGTTTGACTAGGTTTGGACTCACCTAGACGACCAGCTCTAGGCAAGTCTCTGAAGGCTCGTCCAGAGAGGTTTGTGGTAACATAGCACTTCCTAGTTTTCTACAGGTATATCCAGTGCCAAAATGTAGCCCAAGTCCCAAGTGGGCATGAACTGCTGACGGACATGGGTGCTGGGAACCCAGGGCCTCTGCAAGAAAACCGAGTGCTCTTAACCACCAGGCTATTTCCTCATTATGTCACTTCCCCATGCTGAGCCCAGGACTAGGACTTCCTCTCCTACCACTGTCCCTTGCCTGTAGGGGAGGCCAGCTTAGAATACTAGAGAACTGCTGCTGCCTCTGCCCAGCCCATTTCTGATAGCCGCAGTCAATGCTGTTCCATAGGCCCTTCTGTTCAGTCTACCCCTAAAGTAGACTCTCTGGTCTCCTATAAGACACGCCCACTTTAGCATCCGCCTCCGAAAGCCCCTCCTTCCTTCCTTCACAGTGTGCAGGGAGATACAGGCATCTCTTCTTTGCCTTGTATGGGGCATTGCTTCCCTCCCCCCTTCCCCCCCATACTTTAGAGACTGACCCTGGCTAGATGTTCATCCTGTGACATGTGTCACCGGACTTTTGCTCATCTAGTTTTATGCTTCTGTGTTGCTGATCAAGGGAGTCCGGCTCCAGGGTTGTTCCCTTGGCTCATGTGTCTATACTGGCTAATGTTTAAAGCTCTTGTGGACCAAACTTCTTTTCTTTCTCAGGTCCAGCATGTTCCTAACAGTATGGCTTCAACTCCCATTATTGCCAGTCTGTCAGCCAAGAGTAAAGGCAGGATTAGCTCCTGAGGGGTCTGCCTATTGTTTTATGGGAGAAATGCCTCTGAAGATCCCTCCCTCTTGGGCTACTAGCTCTTCCTTTGGAGAGAGGAAACTCAGGGATGTGTAGAATTAACACCCATAGGACCATAGGCTAAGATGTGCTCATCTCAGGTTCGAGAGCTCTGGGTTTCTCCAAGCTCAGCCCTTGGGGAATGGAATTCCTTTGGCTAAGCCTTTCAGTGTCTCTATAATTCAGCTACACGCTGTCAGCTCCTGACTTCTATCTCTCTGTTCTCATTGCAGGAAGAAGGGGCTCTGTGTAAACTCCCAGTTGCTTTCACATTTAGCCTTTAACAGTTCATTAATTAATGGCTCTGGGTTTCTCCTTATCCCTCTGTAGGGCTTTAACACAGCAGTAACAGTCAGGTAACTCCACTGTAAGTGTTAACTCTGTGTTTTCCAATCCTTGAATCGTTTCACTGACAAGAACACACTTTTTCACCAGCGGCTAACTACGGCATCACCTTCTGTGGTGGTGGGAACGAGAAGGCTCCCATAGGTTTGTTCATATGTTTGAATGCTTGGTTCCCAGTTACTGGAGCTGCTTGGGAAGGATTAGGAGGTGTGGCCTTGATGGCTGAGGTGTGTCACTAAGGGTGGGCTTTGAGCTTCCAAAAGCCCAGCAAATCTTTCTCTGCCTGCAATTTGCAGATGGGATGTGAACTATCAGCTGCTGCTCTGGCACCATGCCAGCCTGACACCATTGTCACCCTCATGGTCATGGACTCACCCTTTGAAACTGCAAGCAAGCCCACAATTAAATGCCTTGGTGGTGGTGTCTCTTCCCAGTGACAGACAATGATTAAGACACCTTACTAGCAGCATTCTAAGCTGCCTTTCCAATCTTACCTCTTGCTGTTTTCTTTCTCCCTGGAGCACTCGAGGCCCACTCTTCTCCACACAATTGCTAGTGCTTCCAGACTCCATCTCCCACCCCTGTGGTCCACTGTCTGAGGGTTATCATCCAGAATCCATCTCCCACCCCTCTGGTCCACTGTCTGAGGGTTATCATCCAGACTCCATCTCCCACCCCATACAGTCCACTGTCTGAGGGTTATCATCCAGAATCCATCTCCTACTCCTCTGGTCCACTGTCTGGAGATTATCATCCAGCCTCCATCTCCCACCCCTCTGGTCCACTGTCCGCAGGTTATCATCTCTTGGAAGACTCAGTAGGGATCTGCAGTCCTGGGCCAGCCAGTTCTGGTTTGCAATCCAAGTTTTGTTGCTTATTTTGCAGGAACCTGGCAGCTTTCGTGGGGTAGAAAGCCCTGTTAGTGCTCACACGAAGATGCCACGAGTCTCCGGGTAAACCCAACATTACAAGGGTGGAATATAACAAGTGATCAAAAGGTACCTACAGTCAGACTACATCTACAGGCCTTGGGGGTCTCCACCAGTACGGAGAGTGGAGATGATGATCGCAGCCATGGTAGGATAGGATGCAGACGGACTAGTGGCAAGTCTTTTGCAGCAAGAATGGACATAGGTTCAAACCCTGACTCTGCTACTCAGCTGGATGACTGTGAGCAATGCACTGAAACTTGGTTTCCTCACGGAAAACTTATAAGCAGTAAGCTTTGTTCAAAGCATGACACTGAAGACTGACTGAGGGCAGGTGTTGAGGTGCACGCCTTTAATCCCAGCACTCGGGAGGCAGAGGAAGGTGGATCTCTGTGAGTTTGAGGTCAGCCTGGTCTACAGAGTGAGTTCCAGGCAGCCAGGGCTTCATAGTGAGAACAAGTCTTAAAGGAAGAAAGGAAGAAAGGAAGGGAGGAAGGGAGGAAGAAAGAAGGAAGGAAGGGAGGAAGAAAGAAAACTAGCTGAGATTCCTTGTTATTCTGCTGAGGACATTTTAGGAACCGAATGAAAGTGACAATGACTAGTTAAAGTGAGGTCCTTTGTAGGAACACGATCTACCACACTGGCAGGCAGGGTCTCTGGGCTCCAAGCCTAAGGCGTGCCCGTTTGCCTCCCTCGTCTCTATGAGCTTTCCTCTCCCTTGTGTGTTTGGCGCTTGTCCCTCTGGGCGGCCAGTGGCCCGGTTCCGCAACACTCAGTTCTCCAGTGCTTAGGATCTCATTTATCTGTTCTCCCTCTCTCTGATTAGTGTCGTGCTGGGGACCCACCTAATTAATCTGGCAAAGCAATTAAGGGCAAGGGCATTAGTGGTTGCTAATGCTGTACCCCTCCTAGGGAATCTGCTGTCCTCTAATAGGAGGCCCCTTAAGCAATGCAAAGGACTGCCTAATGTGTTCATTTGAGCACACTCCCTTCTCTCCGTCTCCCCGTTGGCTGGCTGATCCACGGACTCCTCATTCCCCCCCCCCCCATCTGTAATCAGATCTTGGTAATGTCCTCACTGTCCTTCTGCTCTCCCTTCGCTCTGAAAAGCGACCCATTTCTTCCTTTGTTCTCTGGAGCATACCTCTGCTATGACATCGCCACTTCACAAAAGATTCTTTGATGGCACATCAGGTGAAATCTTTGAGCATTTAGAGCATATCCCACATGTGTCCTCAGCTTCAGAGATCCAAGCTAATCAATAAATGTGTTCTGAGAGAAAAAAACATGATCACAAATGTGCAGAATTTAATTAGCACACTGTATCTAACCATTTTATTGAACTATTTATTCGGTTGTCCAGTAAAGCTCAGTGGCTTCCATTTTGGCAAACGGGACTGACGTATGTGCATTGAAGTGAGATGTTATGGACAGAAGGCATCCTGCCCCAGGCTGGACACAGGAACACTTTCATACTGGATTGAATCACCGACTTAGAAATACATCTCAAGAATCAAGGAGAAATCAAGACTCTTGGGGGAAAAGCAGTATTTGTGAAGGGTTGTTTGTGCCTCAAGCCTGTGACTGACATTTTACATGTTGTTTCCAACGCCCTTTCTTGGGAGTTTGATTCTGTTTATACATAGTTGTAGAGTAACAGTGATCAGTCACTGAATAAATATTTTAGTTTAAATGAATAGAATCTTTCCTGTGTAAGTCATAGTTTGAGGACCACTGAACTGCTGTATTGTCCCTGTAATTAAGCTACACATTTTTCTTGAACAACTACTCACATGCCGACAGATTTGTATGATGTTGCTGCTGTTTGAGAGCAGTCTTCAGACCCTTGTAAGTGTGTTTGACTCACATTTGTTCTTGCTGTTTGGTGTGTGTGTGTATGCACGCACGTGCGCGTGTGCACACGTGCACATGCGTGTCTTAGTTAGGGTTACTACTGTTATGATGAAACATCATGACCAAAGAAACTTGGGTAGGAAATGATTATTCAGTTTATGCTTCCACATCATAGTTCAAAGGAAGTCAGGACAGGAACTCAAACAGGACAGGAACCTGAAGGCAGGAGATGATGCAGAGGCCATGGAAGGGAGATTCTTTCTGGCTTGCTCCTCATAGCTGGCTCAACCTGCTTTCTTATAGAATTCAGGACTACATGGGGGTGGGGTGGGGGTTGGCCCCACCCACAATGGGCTGGGCCCTCCAGTATCAATCACTAAGAAAATGCCCTACAGGCTTTCCCACGGCCAGATCTCAGGGAGGCATTTTATCAGTCGAGGCTCCCTCCTCTCTGGTGAGTCGAGCTTGTGTCACGTTGGCCTAACGTGAGGCAGCACAGGGGGGTGTCTGTGCACACATCTGGGTGGATGTGCTCACCTGTGCACGCACAGCATTCGTGAAGGCCAAAATTTGATAGGTGGGTGTCTTTCCCTGTTGTTCTCCGGCTTACTGAGACAGAGTCTCTCAAGGAACCTAGAGGTTATCCTTTTGGCCAGACTGCTGGACTGTGAGATCTGGGATCTGCCTGTCTAGGAATCCCGGAGTTGGCAGTACAAGCGCTTAGCACCACGCCCAGATTCTATATGCGTCCCAGAGACTGACCCTCAGGTTCACATGCTCACACCGACACATCTCTCTACCCTGGTTCCAGTTTCTGCCAGCCTTGTGGGTAGAATTCAGAGAAACCAGCTTAGATTTTTGTTTTTGGACATGAACGAGCAGTTTTTGAAAACATAGTTACTGACATAGTTCCTAGCAGCTGTTTCGTTACACTCTTGGCTAAAAATGTTACTTTTATCCTCCATTTTATTTTTCCAAACATGCCATCCTATGATAGGAAGGTGTGTGTCTGTGTGAGTGTGTGTGCGTACCTACATATGTCTGTAGAGTATGGCCTCTAGTAATGAAAGTATACAGCATACACAGAAAGAATACTTTTCATTGGGCAGTACTTACCATGTCAGGCTAGGCGTATCGAACACTTTTATGGTAAACCCAAGAAAAGAGACTGTGTGTGTTGTTCGAGGGCTAAAGCACCATGGAAGCCCCTGGTCTCAGTCCACTCTCTGAATCATGGCCACTGGCAGAAGCCACTACAGCCAGAAGGAGAGGAAGGGAGTCTGTCAGGCTATGGGAAAGCAAATGGAAGAGGGGCTGTCATATAGGCTCACGGGGGGAGAGAGGGAGAGAGAGGGAGGGAGAAAGAGAGAGAGAGAGAGAGAGAGAGACAGAGAGACAGAGAGACAGAGAGAAAGTGTGTGTGTGTGAGTGTGTGTGTTGGGGGAGCTAGGATCTGACTCCACTAGACCCAGCCCTCAGCCTGGTTTTCCCTTTAGCATTCCTGGTGCTAACAGTCCAGGGCTCACTCTTCAGGTCTTGGCCTGAGTGGAAAGGAGTTTGGGTGGCAGAAATTCCCATGGGGCCAGGAAAAAAAAAAACCAACAACCATAAAGCCATGGAAAGTGGAGCACTCTTTTTAAAATAAAAAGGCTCCAATGCAAAGAGGACGATGCTGTGGGTGAAACATGTGTAGAGAAGCCTGAGTTAGTGATACAGAAGGACCGCCCATCAGCCTGAGACGGTGTTACAAATGCTTTAATGTAGAGACTCCCACGGTTTCTTGATTCTAGAGTGTTGGGGCTTGCCACCTTTTCCATGTCCTTCCTAGGTCAATAGAGATGCCTAACTGTTTCACTTATCAAGGTGTTAGGTCCAGCAACTTAGTAGTCATTTGACAGATATCCATGTCATTGTCAAATAACTACAATCCCCTACTAATGGAACGGGTATACTTCTTGGGCATCAAGACGACTTCCTAAACTTTGGAATTGCAATAGACATCGCTGTGTTTCTATCTTCTTTCTTATTGCTGTTGGTCTGTTTTTTTTTTAAGGCAGGGTCTTACTTTGTAGCTTTGGCTGGAAATCACTCTGTAAACCAAACTGGCTTCAGACTCACAGAGATCCACCTGCCTCTGCCTCACAGTACTGAAATTAAAGGCGTGTGGCCACTCTGCCTGGCATTATTTTTGATTACAACAAACACTAATACATTCACAAAAAAGACTCTATTAAGAACACACACAGCCTACTTGACACTTTTGAAACTGTTAGTAACTCTGACCTAGATGTTTGTACCATGACTAACATAAGTCAAATACCAGAGCACTCAAAAACGCAAGCTATCCCGTGGTAAGCCAGTGGGTTTCTTGTGGCTCTCCGGGGTGCTGTGGTATGTGGCATGAGAATCATGATTGCCAATTCATTTTTCTTATAGTCTGCTTTTATGGGTTCTCAAGAGTAATATGTAATAAAAGGCAATGTCTACATAACTATAAAAGAGGAACGTAATAGCGACAGAAATTTCAAAGTGACAACCGAAGTCACTTTGCTGTGGCTTTATTGACGGGAACTTTTCCTCGGGGGAGGGGAGCACACATCTGCGCATCTTGTATCAGAAGGCACCTTGGATCCGACCTCTCAGATCTGAGGGAGATGGTGGAATCGGCCTCGTTTCTCTGCTTAGAGATCAGCTTCAGCCCTCGATGGTGAAGAAGGGATGGGAGCATTCCTGGAGGCAGGAGCATGGGGTGGGGGATGTTCCTCACCTCATCATCGATCAGGAAACAGACTATCTGGGGAAGATGTCCTGCTGTCCTCCAGGCCCGTCCCTAGTATCCTATGTTCCCCACCTAGGCTCTAGCCCCAAAGGTTCTACAAGTCCCCAAATCAAAGTCACCAGCTGGTGAAGGTATTTAAACCCTGCAGCCTGTAGGGCATTTCACAGTCAAACTATAGCAGGGCATATAAAAATTAATTGAACTCTGTTCTGGATCATTTTTTATGTCAACTTGACACGGCTAAAGTCTTCTGAGAGGAGGGGACCTCAATTAAGAAAATGCCCCCATAAGATCATGATGTATACAAGCCTGTAGGGCATTTTTTAAATTAGTGTTTGGTGTGGGAGGGCCCAGCCCATTGTGGGTGGTGCTGTCCCTGCGCTGGTGGTCCTGGGTTCTGTAAGAAAGCAGGTTGAGCAAGCCATGAGGAGTAAGTCAGTGAGCAGCACCCCTCCATGACCTCTGCATCAGCTCCTGCCTCCAGGTTCCTGCCCTGTTAGAGTTCCTGCCTTGAGTCCTTCAATGAAGAACAGTGTAAGCCAATTAAATGGTTTTCCTCTCCATCTTGTTTCTTAGCCATGGTGTTTCATCGCAGCAGTGGAAACCCCGACTGAGACCAACCCAGAGGAAAGCATGGCTGATGTAGAGGCAACAGAAAGCACTCAGATAACTTTAAACAAGCACCAGGTGTTTCTAGCCCCACTTTTAAGGGAGACTCCAGTTCTCAGGGAGAATGGCATCATGTTACACTGAAGAGAGTCTGGAGCAGAAGAAAGCCAAAGCATTAGAATTCCTCTGTGTTGTGCAAGGAAAACGGGAGACTGACTCAGCCCACAGTTATAAACAGACAGGCGCTCAGTACTAGCGGATGAGAACCAGAACATGAAACTGTCCCAAGAAAGAGCAGGGGGGGGAGAAGAAGGAAGGAAGTTTATGTTTTACTATGTAGATACACGCATATTATAAACACAAGCTACGATGGTCAAAAACATCACCTCAGTAGAGAACATATAAAATGATAAAATGTATTAAAACATTAAAAATGGATTACATTTCTTCTGAGAGGTGTATTTAATTCCGTCCGTTAAAAAGGATGCAAGCCACGGAAGGTTTAGTAGAACGGAACATGAACACTTGGGAGAACTCTCGTTTTCACGTCTAACCTGAAAGCTACCGAGGACCAGAGATGTAGTCCCCGATAGACACTTCTGCTCACTGAACACTTGGGAGAACTCTCGTTTTCTCTTCTAACCTGAAAGCTACCGAGGACCAGAGATGTAGTCCCCGATAGACACTTCTGCTCACTGAACACTTGGGAGAACTCTCGTTTTCTCTTCTAACCTGAAAGCTACCGAGGACCAGAGATGTAGTCCCCGATAGACACTTCTGCTCACTTTTATTCATGCGTATCTGCATCTTGCTTGTCTGTGGGCACACCGCCTTTGCACAGTGCCTGAGGAGACCCCACGAGGGCGCTGGCTCCTCAGGAGGGAGTGACAGGTGGCTGTGAGTTTCCACGTGGGACTCAAACATGGGTTCTCTGCAAGGGCAGCCAGGGTTCTTAACTACGGAGCCATTTTTTTTTTTTTGCAGCCCCATAAAAAACTTTTTTAATGAATTTCCTGTGAGATACTTAAGTGGAATCCTTAGTGCTGAAGGGAATGTAATGATACAATAATGAAAAGGAACATATACTGATTATAAAGTTAATTTGTGTAATTTTCTAGGATATAGTTCAGAAAACAGATCACAAGGGCTGGCAAGATGGCACTGGCCACTAAGCCTGACGAAGTGAAGTTTGCATGGAGCCCATGTGCTGGAAAGAGAGAAACAACCCCCAGAAATTATCCCCGCCCCCAAACATGCCACAGCATGTGGGACCCTAGGAATAGTAAATGTAAAAAATTAACAAGAAAAACACATCTTTAAAATATGCACTACTAGAAAACAGAGTAAGAGAAAACATAACATGGGTTAAAGTATATCTGTAAGATTTATCTATTAAATATAGCA